ATGCTGCTAAGAAAAGTTATAAAATAAGGTTTTCAAAAAAAGAGAGAGGGAGAGAGAAAAAGACAAGAGTGTTAATTTATAACCCAGTTTTTCTCCAAGAGAGGTGTGTTCGTTATTCTGCAATAGCCAGCCTCGCCCTAACCTCACCACTGACTGACTATTGACCAGTTCTCTGTCTAACAGGTCCGGAAAATCCCTGAAACCTGGGTCTTACCCTATCACAGGTTTACTAGAGAATTTCTGTTTAAACTGGCGGCGGAGAAAACTCGTCTAGCTCTAACTACCTTCAGATCCAGAAGTTACGGCCCTTTTCAGTTGAGAAACAATTGACAGAGTAGCCCTCGCTGCCGCATGGCTTCAACAACCACTCCTGTTAACGGTAGCTTTTCTCCTGAAAATAACGTGCACTTGTTATCGGCTAGATTGGATTTAGTGACTAGATTTAAGTCCCAGGGCCATTATTTTAACACTCACCAAAGGAAAGTACGAAGCCACCACATCTCTGGAATCATGTATGTTAATTTTACTTATTATCAAGAGAACCCTTAATGATCAAACTGACTCAATTAATCTCAATGTTCACAAGTTCTATTAATTTTTGACAGGTTTTTTATTATGCAAGCTTTAGCAGGGGTAAATAACAAGCAGAGTTTCTTTCAGAGATTACAATTCGTGACAATATAAAATCAAATTAAAATCGATCATAACCTACTCTCTTTCCTAACCCTGACTTGTGTCACTAGTTCCATCAAGCGAGGCTTTTGGGGGCAGTTCAACTCACACCCGGTGGCAAATTGATCTTGGCAACTGAGGTCCTCAGATGTCCTTGGTTAGAGTCTCTGTCCTGACGGAGCAAAGTTCTCTTTTCAGAAAAGAAGCAAAGTCGATCAGTCCGTCTTCCATTAAACGAACAGGATCTTCATCACTCAGTGACCTTTGTCTTTTCTCCAAGTCCGCCACAGTAGAATACGGATCATTGGGTGGAGGCAGAGGGGTCAGCCGAATCAGGAACCAAGGCTGGGGGCTGATGGATCTTGTCCCTTCTTTGCGGCGCGAAGTTTCAACTCTCCCTTGGTCCCAGGGTGTGGTCCTCTGCTGATCTTCAGTCTGCGCCCTTTCGTTGTCTCCTCCTCAGCGCCGCGGACAAAGAGCAGTTTCCTCCCCAGCTTGCTGGCTTTTAAACCCTCTTGGTTCATAGTTGTGTGTGGGAGAGGTCTCATGACTCATCCTTCCCGATTATTTCATCGGAAAGTACCCATCTTCCCCAAACTCCGCTCCACCCTGAATTTGGAAATACCCAAATTTTTCTTGTCTGACTGCTGCAACTCTTGTCCAATACTTATCTTTTCTCCTGTTGGCTATTTGGCAGTTATTGCCTTTTTTGGAGTTGTTCTGGGACCTCCGCCCAGCCCAGTGGACTGCCTGTGACACAGTTCATTCCTTTTCCTCCTGTACTCAAATCTACAGTCTTCTATAATATCATGAAACCCAATCAACTCAAAACATAATCATTTTGTCCCATCTACTTATAATCCTCAGTATACTTCTCCATCCTTTATCTATTATGTGACTTGCGTGTCAATATACAACAATTAAGCTGTTACCGTTACTACAGATCATGAATACAGAATATATATATTCCAACTATACGTTACAGACATTGTGATTACAATAACACCAATCATTTCAACTATTACACACATATGTAATTTATATTTAATTTCTTTAATCATCATTAAATCATCATACAAAGTCACTGTTATATCTCAGGCCTGTACCCCGTTTTCTGCGTGTACCTAGAGAGATCTCACACTCCCAGGCCAGTTTTCTCGACAAAATGAAGGGGCTACGTTTTGAGCTGGAATACTGTCACCTGTTGCTTTAGATCCAGGATTACACTGAAGATGCAGTACCTTCCTTCGCCAGTGAAAATGAAGGTTTCACGCACTTACCTGTGTCTCTCTGTTGCAGTCTCCTGCAGTGAAAGAGGACATCTTCCTTCAGAAGATAGCTCGTGTTGATATGATGTCACATTTTCACGCAGTGAAACTTCTAATTTTCCTACTAAACTTAAAGTGTTACCAACCGTTTTATACCAGCTGGTATAAAATAACGGAGAAAGGGCCTTGAGCAGGAGTCAGCTTACAGTTTTATAGGGAGGGGTTTCATTCCATCTGATAATCTACTTGGTTACAGAACAGATAGCAAACGCATGTATCTTCTTTCACTAGGGCAGTCAAGCACGTCACGAGAGATAAAGAAACAATTAAGTGACTTTGTTGTAACGCTAAGGCCAGAGAAACTGCTTCTGATGCCTTTTTCCCCTGTAGTCATTTGTCTGCTATTCAAGGCATTTGCAATGCCTTGTGAATCCACACCATTCCCTGATTTTAATAATGCTTTGCTCTATTTACTTTCTCTGTCGTTTCTTTGGTTAACCCTTTCATCTGCTTTGGTTTTTCTCTTGAGGTGTGGGCGGGAACCTGGTGTCTGTACAAGCCAGTCGGATTTCAACTCATCTGCATTTGAATTATTCTCCTGGAGAGCTTCCTTTGGGCTCCAGAAGCTGTTTCAACCCCTTTCAAACCTTCTTTGGCTCAGGTTTTCCCATTTTAATATTTCCGTATTTAAAATGTTCCTTAACACCTGTCTGCCATATCCTGAACATCTAACCAGTGTTTTTCTCCTCGTAGTTTGTCTTATAGGAAATTATATTTGAAAGTCAATTTGTTGAAATTAAATTTACCATTACACATGTTTAAATGTTTACCTTTGCCTGTTGCAGGTGCACACCACCGATCTGCTCAGGTTCTTCTCCTTTTGGTTCTTCCTGGTCAGCTGATTTTTGTACACATTATTCATGTGATAAAAGGAGGCCTTACGATGCCCAGTCTTCTCTTCACTGTATTATTCCTGTCTGCTTCTTTGACACAAGTGAGTAAGCCGTGGCGTGGCATTCCCCACCGGGTGGTTTTATTAATGCTTTGATCTCTGTGTCCTGCCTCTTTTTCTCAGGTCTTCTTGCTGCTTATTGTTGCTGACTGCCTGGTCCACTGTCTGTGGAGGAGGGGCAAAGACCCAGACAGTTACGCCATACCCTACCTCACAGCCCTGGGAGATCTTCTGGGAACTGCTCTCCTCTCTCTTGCTTTTCTCTTGCTGTGGTGCATTGGAGACTTATGAAGTGTATGGAATATAGATAATAACCAAACAATGACAAGCACAGGCAGAGACATAGAACAGCAAAATCATTGTTCATAATGGTAAAGCAGAAAATACGAGAAAAAAAGAAAAGTCTTTTTTTT